TTGAAAGAAAAAAAAAGTAAATCTGCAGTGTTGTACCAGCATAATGCGTTTATTTTGAAAGAGACTGTCTGTAAATGTTAAATTTCCTGTTAAAGCTGAAGTGTATTTTGGAAGAAGACAATACATGTAACAGGCAGAACTTGACACAGCGTCCCAGAACGTCAACAACCAACGCACCCAGGGTACCTTGAACGTTGTATGTGGACGTGGAAAGTCCATGACCAAACGTCAATATGTGATGAGGTCAGAGTGAGAATATGTTGGATATCCTGACTTTTAATTGCAAGTAATGGTCCAAAAATGCAACATGATCTTGTCTCTACTGGTTATATTTTGCAGATTGGTGGAGTTTCCCTTTAACAAAATGAAGGTGTATGGAATTTAGTTTGTGCTGTTGAAATCACTAAAAGAAAATTAATATAAAATCCAACAGCCGCACAGATGCAGCGTCCCTGTTACTCAGTGTGAACATTTTTCTTTACTACAGTCTACAGATAAAATAGTCCCAATCAATAACTGTTGAAATGTCAGATCCTGAGAAAGTAAAAACCAGAATTACCAGAACTGACCTTGAGCTTTAAAATTGATCACCAAACAAGGTCTCATTGTCCTGATAGTACAATAGCACTAAGATCATATTGCTTAATGGGCGTCACACGCACAAAGGATGATCTTGGCACTAATGTGAGAGAAACACATTTCCTGTTTTCTGCATCACTGCAGGGAAGAAGGACATGGCTCTTATACCACTGTCAGACATTTACCAGTGTCTGCATCAGCTCCTGTTTTGGTTGTGGCGTATTTCAAGACAGGGGTTGTTTAGTGTTCTTGTTAACGGAGGGTGACAGCACTCATGGAGGAGCAGCAGGTGTTTTCTGATGTTTATCAATAAGCACATGGGGGGACAGAGTGCAGATTGTCACTGATGGACCCTGCTGATGTTAAGCAGCTCCACAGGTTTCCTCCACTATCATAACAACATTTACGTCAACTTGTTATGACTATGGAGCCTCTTACCAGAGCATCATCACCTCCAAATTTAACATATGTATCAAAATAATCCTCATTTATTGTTAGAAAAGACTTGTGTTAGGCTTGTTTCTAAGGGCTGAGGTCAGTGAGGCTATTCTCATTTGCACTGGATGTGAATATACAGCTGTTCACACAGACGGTAAATATCACACCAATTGTTTGTCCATTTATACATTTAATTAGAGCAGACCCTGGTGAGGGTAAAGAGGATTAAGTAGAGGGCCTGTTCCATGCATCACAGAGTCCCGCTACCGCTTCAGTAGCCAGAGGCAATTGTTGCCATTATACATTTTTGCAATCCACAGATTCATTACATTTGTATGTTTTATATGCATCATGTCAACGTTTATAAAGTGACACAGTATATCAGCTGGCTTTGTCACCTGGAGGTGGAGGGGAAGGTGGATAGTGCGTTGCCAAGCTGCAGACCACTGTTTGAAACAAACAAAAGAACCGGTTGTTTTTAGCGAGTCATTGCTGCATTTCCAGTGACATTTTAGCCACTAAACCTGGGTGTTTTTTAGTGACCCACTGCTGTGTCTCCACTGGGGATAGGACCACAAAAAGAGGTTGATTTTTAGCGAGACATGGCTGCGTTTCCAGCCGAGATAGTGCCATGGAAAGTGGTTGATTTACTATGATATTGCTGCATTTCCAGGTGGGATAGTGCGATGCAAAGACGTTGTTTTTTACCAAGACATCGCTGTGTTTCCAGCTGGGATAGTACAGTGAAAAGTGGTCACTTTTTACAGAGATATCGCTGCATTTTCTGCAAAGATGTTGTTGTGAAAAATTATGTTTTTTACTGAGACATGGCTTCATTTCCTGCTGGGATAGTGCCGTGAATAGTGGTTGTTTTTAACTGAAACTTTTCAGCCTTTCCTGCTGGGATAGTGTGACAAAAGTGGCTGTTTTTTATTGAGACATTGCTGCCTTTTCTGCCTGGATATGCCATGAAAAGCCATCAATTTACTGAGACATTGCTGTGTTTACAGCTATAATAGTGCAATGAAAAGCAGTTGTTTTTTTACACAGACATCACTGCGATTCTAGCCGGCCTAGTGCAATGAAAAGTGGCAGTTTGTTACAGAGACATCGCTGCGTTTCCTGCAGAGATAGTGCTTTGAAAAGTGCTTGTTTTTTACTGAAACGTGGCTTCATTTCCTGCTGGGATAGTGTGACGAAAAGCAGTTGTTTTTTTACCGAGACATCACTGTGTTTCCCGAGATAGTACAATAAAAATAGGTTGTTTTTAACTGAGAAATGGCTGTACTTTCTGCTGGGATAGTGCAACAAAAAGTTGTTTTTTTATCAAGACATTGCTGCCTTTTCTGCCTGATTATGCCACAAAAAAGTGGTTGTTTTTTACAGAGTCATTGCTGTGTTTCCTGCCGGGATAGTGCCATTGAAAAGCAATTGTTTTTTACAGAGAGATCACTCAGTTTCCGGCAAGGATTGTGCCTCCAAAAACAGGATTTTAAGCCAAAATACGATCTTTTCCTGCCAAGTGTTTTCTTGTGCCTCAGCCTAACCAGATGTTAACCATAGTGTTGCTGAAACGTAAAGAAATGTAATGTTTTCACGTATCAGCTATATATTATTGAACAAATGTAATGTATCAATGGTTTGCAGAAACCTACAATGTCAACATTTATTCTGGCAACTAGGTGCCACTACTGTACAATCCCATTTTTCACAGCTTCATTTAATTAATTTGTGTTGTTCCCAGAGTCTGGAGGATACTCTGACACTGTCTTTTTAGGCGTCTCTGCAATGTATTTGTCTAAGCCACTGCATTGCTTGTTTAAGCTTAATTGCAATGAACTGGAGCCTTAGATTGTGTTTATTGTTTCAGCAGAGAAGATCTCTCAGCCAGGTCTACTTCCTGCGACCCAGATATTTTTCCGTCAGACTAAGACTCTCTGTTTCTCTGAGTGTCTGGCATGAGCTATTTGACACATTACCAAGAGCCAGAGGCTTTGTGTACTCTTAGAGAAATCTTAATTTTATGTAACCTTATGCCACAGTGTTAAATATTGTTTGTTTGTGTATTTTGTGTGTAATTGTGTATATTGTTAATTTGTCTATAAACTTTGGAGAAGCCTATTCTTCTCAGGGCCATTTGTCTATGCTAATGGGGGTCAGGAGATGATCTCAACAAACCCTAGCAGGAAAAAAGAGTGTGAGAAACTTGGTGCTCATATTATAAACTTCCGCTTTATGGTGACAACATATGACGACATGTCAAAAGTCAGGTTTGCTGTGAAGTCATAGTGTCAGGGTTGATTTACAGCTGCATTATAAAATGTACACATTCATTTTCCTGAAGTTATTACCGCTCAGTTATGGCACACACAGTCATGTTTACAGATATGAAAAGTAACACAACAACAATTACATGTCCACATATTTAATCATACATGACAATATAAACAGAATAAAATACAATATAACAAAATAAAGTGCATAATTAAAAAATAAATGATAAAGAAATAAATTAAAAGACCTTTTTTGAATAGGCAGCTTGTGTTTCAAACTCTACCCTTAACCGAATATCATTATATTGTGCAATCTCAAGGGGAGTGATTCTCAGCATTTATGCACACGAACAAGCTTGTCTAAAATTAACAGCAACAGGAGAAACAAGAAAGGCAAGAATGTAATCCGGGACATGAAGCAACAATCTGGAGCCGATTTAATAACAGGGAAAAGGAGGCAGACGGTGTGATTCAAAGCTGCTGAAACTAAGACATAAATCTCATGTGAGTGGAAAATCTCATACAAACAGGAGTTCAAAAGTTCAGTCTATTATATATATAGTGTTACAACAGCAGCTGAAGGTGTCAATTGACTAAATGAAGACATTAAAAAGGGGAATTCTGCCAGTGGGAAAAATGGGGCACAGGATAGGATCACAGAAACTGACATTTTGACTAAACAATTATTGTATAACCAGCAGAATAACTGCTAATTAAAATAACTTTAAGTTGCAGCCCTATCTGATACAAAACATCTTGCAAAGTCCTGATTTTCTGGATGTTAGTGCTGTATAGTAAGAAGGCAATTCATGAGCACAAGGACTGATCAAATACTTCTTTAGGGTGGATAATCCCGTTAGAGCTCTGATTTATCAACTAAAACCTTCTCCTAGAGAAGAATAATTGTCTTACAAACAATAATTTGTACAACATTGATCATCTAGAACACCATTTTTCTCAAGCGGACAGAGTGTTGAAATATCATCATCTTAACACCATGTTAAAGGTACAGTGTGTATGATTTCAGGAGATTTAGTGGCATCTAGTTGTGAGAACTGCAGATTGCAACCAGCTGAAACTACTCCTGGTTAGAATTCTTTTAGTGTTTCTTGTTCAGGAAGTTTTTACCGTGAGCTCAATTATCTGCAGAGGTCTCTTCCTCTCCAAAACAAACGGACCATGTGATTAAAACTGGTAAAAACACTGAATAAAGCAGTTTCACATTACAAATCAATGTTTTTCCTACCCGTTTGACATGTCGGAGATGGGCTGCTAGCCTAGCTCCTGCTAACGTGTGCTCAATTTTTTTTTTTGAGTCAGACAATTTTTCTGCAAAGGTCTCCTCCTCTTCAAAACAAACAGACCTGGAGATTTTATCTTGTTAAAAACGCTTTACATTAAGAGATGTAAACACTGGACAAAAACACTGACCTTATCTAGAGCCAGTGTTTAGCCTGATTTATGGTCCTGCGTTAAATCAACGACGTCACTACGTCGTAGGGTACGTGGCTACGCAGAAGGCTCCCCGTAGCCCCCGGCGTAGCCTGACGTGCACCTCCCCAAAAATGTAACTACACGTCGAGGCGACGCAGACCCAGCGCAGACCGAGAGGGCTGTGATTGGTTTGCTTGGTAGCAACACATTTCCGGTTCAGTATTTCCAGATTGCGCCATCCCCGCCATCTTTAAACATCTTCTGTTGCAATGTAGATGTTGCACATATGTTGCAGTATTAAGGCCCATTTATGCTCAACGTTCAATAAGGATACGGACAGAGCCGTCTGTCCGTGCTCAGCGTTAATTTCTCTGTGACCGGAAAAGCCGGAAGCTAAACAAAGAATCAACTACAGACGACGATAACCATTCAGGAAAGGAATGCAGCCTCCTACCGCTCTGGCGGTGAATCACACCGCGACGAAATGGAGTGACGGAGAAGTTCGAAATGTTCACAACGGCATCACGGCAACGACGTAGGTATGTTGTAGGTACGCCGCAGGACCATAAATCTGGCGTTTGGTTTGTCTATTCTGGGCTACTGTAGAAACATGGCAGCGCAACATGGTGATCTAGACAGCGACTGGCTTCCTACGAGATATAAACAGCTCAATCTAAGGTAACGAAAACACAGTGATTCTTATTTTCAGGTGATTATGCACTAAAGAAAACATACTTATTATAAAAAAAATTCTATTTCTGCCATTATACCCCCCTAATTCCTACACACTGGACCTTTAAATGACATCTGTCTGCTGACTTACACCACATTTTCTGAAGCTGTGGAAAAAAATGTTTAGTATTAATTACTATGGCACAGGAACCATTGTACCCTCACTGTAAGATGGAAAACCTCTTTTTAAATAATTTGAGATGACATATTTGTGTGTATTCCAGGAACAAGGAATGAAAACTTTGGATGTTCACCACATAATAATACTGCACTGTACATTAGTCATGGAACTAACACAATATGTCCTTCAAAAAGCCCTGTACAATAGAGTTTATGAAGCAAATCAATCGCACATGCCACTGATTACTCATAAGGATCACATTCAATAGTGTTTTCAGTTCCTATATTGACCACAAGTGTGTGACTCAGTTATTCTAAACAGCTGAGCCACATCTACTTTACAGTAAAGGTTTCCACAATCATTAAACAAAGTAGCTGAAATTAGGAAGGATCACTTTTCCATCACTGACACTTGAGTCATGAAGAAGTGGGTCATCTCTGGGAGAGTAACATCTGTTTTGGGCAAAAATGACAAAATCTGCTCACATAGTCAGAGATAGTCATCACTTGAGGTAGCTGGGTGCTGAAACAGAGACAAACAGGAAGATAAAGCTCACAGCGCTTCAAGATTATCTGTTCCTCTTCCAAGCTTCATGTGTCCGACTTCACAAGAAGAGTCATTTATTATTTTTTATGTGCCTTCAGAGTTTGAAAGTTTTTTTTGCAGAAGTCATTCAGTAGACAAGCTACCCCAGAGCGAACTGAGAACTTTCTCCTAATTCAGAGTTAAGTCAGATGCATTTCTCCTCCACTGTCTGAGTGCTCAGCGACACCTGAAGTGCTTGGTCTTTTGGGCATGGCAGAGCTGAGAGGTCCCTGATAACATCTGTCCCTTCTCTGCTCTGAGCTTCAATGCTGCCTCGCTCAGACAAATAAGAAGCTCTTGAGTTTCTGTCAGATGAAGGCTGTGAACTAGAGACTCTGTCTGCTTTATGGCAGCTTCCTTTATACACTTCACTCCCCTCTGGCAGGTAGAGGAAGGTCTGGGAGCTGCTGGAGAAGTCTCGCAGGTCATGGGAAACCAGGGAATGTGAGTCCCGATTAGAAATGACCGAGGAGAGTTGATGAGCGTCTATACAGTTAAAGTTCCCCTGTCTCTGTTGCCCCCGTGCTTCCATCTTGCAAAATAAGCACTTGATTTTCTCAATGAGCTTGAGAAGAACAGCCTTCCGGAGCAGGATGTAGATCCAGGGGTCAAGAATGGGGTTGAAGGAGGCGAAGCGTATCGCTCTAAGATCAGGGTTTTTGTCCAAACGTAGCTCCACTGGAGTCTTATACAGCTGGTTCAAAAACACCTGAGCCTGCAAGGGAACAGAGAATACCATTAAGTAGATAAATAAGTGTTTCAAACTATGTGTGAGTGTACAGCTGTGGATGTGTATATCTGTGTTTCTTGAAGGAAGAGTGAGAAACACAACTGCTGGAGCAGAAAAAGAGAGAGCAGGGAGAAAAAGGAATCAAATCTATATAGAAATATGTTTGGACTTTCTCTTTAATCAACTTGGATTAGCATCAAAAGCCATGTACAAAAGTAAGTACATTTTTGCGTAAAAAGAGCCGTGCGTAACACGTGCGTAATGGATAGAATGAACAAAGACAAGAGTACCTAAGGGGTGGGTTGAAAGGGGAAAGGAAAAGAAAAAAAAACGACACTTGCGCGTAAAAAATCAGTGCGTAAAAGATAATAGTAACCCACAGGGCGCGGAAAAAAAGGCCAACTTACAACAAGTGGGATGGAGCAGATAAGCACCACTGCCGACGTGCCTATGAGCAGAATGACCATCTGAATCTCTGCACCGGCCAGACGTCCAAAGCTGCGTCCTCTCCTCGGCGGCTCCATGTTCACGGTGCGCCCCAGATCGGTTCCCAGCGACATCCTGCGCACGAAGCGCCGATGCATCCGGATCAAAGCCCCACACACCAGCACGTTACAGATAACAGTGGCGAGAATGAGAAGAGAGCTGAAACCTGCATACATGTAGGAGTAGGCGGCATCGCTGGTCTTGTTGCTCCTCCACTCTAAAAAACACCAAGTTTGCGGATATTGTTTCTTCACCTGTCCAAAGCCGATAATCGGCAGGGCGCAGAAAAGAGCGTTGGAGATGTAGATCGCCAGGAGAGTCAAACCCGCCAGTTTCTGGTCCACATAGTCATTGTAGAAGTACGCATGGTTTATAGCGATGTATCTCTCCACCGACATGGCACAGATGATACTGAGTCCCGCCAGAGAGAAGAAAAGCAAAGTGAATCCAAAATATTGGCACAGCGGGTCTCCTCCGGGCCATGATCCTTTCACATAAGTGGCGATGGTGACCGGACTGGCCAACAGTGTGCCCAGGAGGTCCGTGACTGCCAGTCCACACACAAGCGTGTAAAACGTGGTTTCTTTCTGTTCTTTGCGAGATTTACAAAGAACCACGATGGCGATGACATTCCCAACCACCCCGAAAATGAACATAATAGACGGAATGGTCGGGACCATGGTCCTCCCTGTCATCGATTGATTATTCATCGTTTTGTCCTTCAAACGCAGTTCAAGGCGAGTTAAACAAGTTTTCTTACCGCCAGTATTTCCAGTCCAGAGCAGAGAACTTATCTGCACATGTAAGAAGCGTGGGCAACATTTTCAAACTGCTTGTACCTTATCTTAAAACCAACTTCTGAAAAAGTTCTTCCTCCTGCAGAGCATCATGTGGCCGCTGCTGTGGTTACCGACGGTACCTATCAGATCCTCAGCTAGCTTTGCAAGACAGAGAGATAAAAAGCAGGCATCAGACACCAAGTGACTTCATTAGAATAAGGCTCTGCCTTCAAGCTTCCTGAGGGGTTCAGTCCCTCCCCTTCATTTCACTTCACAGCTCTCATCAGCTGTTCAGTCTGGTGCAGGAAGGGCCCTTAAGCACCTTCACACAAAGGTTAACCTAAACTCACAGGAAAAAAGTTAAAACTTCTACAAAATTTGCATTTGTGCTTTCAAAATTACCATCAAGCCAAAATTCTACTGTGTTCACGTTATATTTTAGGCATTTAGTTGAAGGTTGTATCCAATTAATGCTCATAAAAGAACCTAACCTAAAAGAAACTTAAATAGTAAAAGCAATGTGAAGACTAGTCTTTGCAAAAGCATGTTAAAACAAGTTTCAACAAAACATGAAGATAATTAATGACAAAATTATACAGCAGAAATGCTATTAAAATATTTGTATAAAAGACACTCTAACTTGCTGTAAAGAGAAATAATTCAGTTAAAGGTTATCCTAGATTGATTTCCTGACAATCATCTCACAGTAAGACTGATGGGATCAAGATCCTTTCTTCATTTGCTGCATAATTAAGGATAAAAATCAACAAAAGGTCAAACAATTAATTAATTGGCCACCAATTGTCATGCAAATATATTCATTAACCTGTCAGGTATCCTACTGAAGAAAACTCAGTCTTACAGCCAAGTGTTTGTGTTTCTGGTGTGTTTCTATCTCTTAGAAAAACACTATTGGGTATGATAAGGACATTTTATCAGGCTATTAAAATTCAGTCCTGTAACACATTTTGTGCCAATAAAAACACATGCAAATAACTTCAGCATAATGTGATTCGTGCCTACAGTTTATCGTAAAGCAAATAAACATGCTGTCCTGCTGAGAGACAGCGGAGACACCAGTGTCCCTGACATGATGCGAGGTCTTGTGACTTAAACTGCAAAACAAACATGTGGTGTTTCACGCTGTGTGGCAGGGACACTGTCAGTGGAATCAGTTATTTCTCTGTTCATTCATTTGGACCTGATTTCTACAAAAGAAGAAGAATTGTGTGTGTGTGTGTGTGTGTGTGTGTAAACCCACTGAGAGCTGTGAGGTTAATTTAAGAAACCACAAGTGGACCAGATTAGAAGCCTTAGTGAAAACGTATTTATCTTCAGTAGACAAATACTATTTAGACTAATGAGTTTTTAAATATGTTTTCATCAGTGGGATATTTATTTTTCTAATCCTATTTTATTCTGATGACTATAGACAAATTGAATTTGAAAACAGGGTTTGCAAGTTTTCATTAATTATTCACAAAACTTGTCTATGACAAATATCATCTCAAACATCTCCGGTTAAATCTCCAGCTTAAACACAGTGTGGTAAATTAAATACCACTCCACAGTCTTGCACAATCAGCAGTTGTTAGCAGGCAGTAAACATGCAAGCAGATTAGCCTGTTAGCTACCCTACACCTACTGGCCATGTGCCATTCGCCCATGGATAAACAAGAGAACGGGATATAACTTTGGAGGCGGGGCCCAGTTTATTTCCATCAGTGATGCATGAAACTCAGTGATGCATGAAACTTAATGATTGACAACTGGCACTGCTTCCACACTGTGCGACCCATAGAGTAAGCAGACTAGAGACTCCCTTTGGCTGAGCAGGCTACACCTGGTTTAGCGCTCCTCTAATGTCAGTGGGAATAAAATGATTCAATCGTGCGGCTCTTCTAAACTTTCAAATATTATCAGACCAAAGGGATTAAATTCTGATGGTGTAATGAATCATTCCGCGGGGGTTTTGACCAAGCAGCAACATCCAGGGCTGAAAAATGAAGCCAACGTGCAAGTGTCAAACATTGCAGTTTCTTGAACGGCCACTTGAGGCTGACTCCAGAAGCTAGTCAATCCCTACAGACACCCATGTTAAAATGTCCAAAATAAACATGTTTACAGCCTGGCACAAAAACGGTTTTGGTTTCTGTACCTAATTTCTGTGCACGGGGCGAATTTTCCTATAACTCACCCGTTTACATTTTATTAAGTCTTAAAGTTATGCATAATTAAGGGCGGGCCACTCTGTGAAAGGCTGTCTGCAGAAAGTGTCCTCGGCTTCTCAGTCAGATCCACCCCTCTCTCTTCCATGGCACCAGCTTCTTGCCCAAATATGGTCACTTTCGGCTCCAAAAAAACCAAGATGGCGATGGCGGAAATGCCGAACTTGACATTCCAAACAGGAGTCTACAAACCAATGGGTGATATCACGGTAGCTATGTCTGTTATTTTTACAGTGTATGGTTTTGACACACACATAAAATGATTCACTGATTTACAGAAGTCTCCTTCCCCATGTATGCTAAGTCTATGGGAAGACATATAAGGGTCACATAGCATCATGTGACAGATGTTGGCCTAATTACACTGTTTGGTGACTAAAATTAGCCTCAAATCCTGTTGTACTTCCTGGGAGCCTGATTAAGATGACCAAAGACTAGCTATTTTATTACATTCACAGCATGAGGTGTGTTTCATGTTTTTGTTGCTTAATATTTAAAATAATGTTTGTGTTCATTATGATTTCCATGACTGTTATCTATAGTATGATGGTTCTCGGTCAGGACTTGCTTTGACAAACAAACCACAAATATCATAATGCTCACATGAGTTGGGTTTAGCCGTACTGGTGATATCATCAGTGGGCTGGGCACACTTGTGGCTGGTTGTTGTGTGTATGTGTGTGATATACTTAAACCCGAGCTGTCAGTTGCATCATTTGAGAAAAAGCAGCATTGGCTTGTTGATAATATAATGGGATTTACGTCTGCACTCAGACTCAGTCCACTACTTCAGGCTGATGTAACTAGACTGTGACTGCTTTCACAGAACATGTTGAACTCTGAGTAACTGAGACCCTGAGCCCTGCCGCCTGACGTCATCCCACTAGACCGACCCTGTGCTCTTGGAAAATACACTTGTTGTTTTCTTTGTTGCCACTTTCTGGTATTTATTTAAACATAGAAAAAGGGGAAACCCACTGTGATTATGGGTGTAGTGTAGCCTTGAAAACAAACTATATTTCCCTAAGCATGCCATTCATACATAGACTAATGGGCCTTAACTTGTCAACCCCGTGAAAAACAGCTGTTATGTAATGTGTTTGCGTATGCCACCCTGTCCGTATGTATAAAATATGATTTCAGCCGCCTGTTGTGTTTCTCTGTGTGTCTGGTTTCAAGCCTTGCAAAATGTTCTGTAAGTAGATTTGAAAGATTACACATCTCATGAATGTGCTTTTCCTGGATTTGTTTGTTGAAGTCAGATAACCTGCAGCGTGGCCGCACTGCAGACTCAGAGCAATGACCACCAGCACTGCTGGAAGAATCAATTTTCCTGTAAATACAACTCCAGCGTATGTTCTGTGGATACACAATCGCACAGCCGAGTGGGTCTCTCTGTTTGTGCATTTGTTTTTTCTGGTAGACTTTGTAGTTTAAAGAAAGCGAAGAAAAAACAACTTCCCAAACACAGTATTTTCATCCAAGGCTTTAATTCCTGTGCCAAACAATTACTACATTGTGTCTTTGTTGGTTGTATAGACTCTTATATCCTCAGAGCAGTGCCAATTGGTGGAAAACATTTTCCTGCTGTGATGGCTCTTAGGACTCTGATTTTGTTTTGTAGAGCAAGAGGGACAATTACACCAAGGTAGGAAAACTATGCAATCACAGGTGTGTGACACTCTGTACTTGCCACAGTATTTAGGTGTAGTTGTGGATGATTTCCCCTGCAACAATGCGTCTGCATTTTGGTTTAATGCTTGGGTTGAGCCTATGATTTATCGCCTGAGATTGCCACAGGCCTTTTTGTTTAGAAAAACAAAAGCTACCTGTAGAGTAAAACATGATCTCTGTGGACATGTTCAGACACATTTGGTAGCTTGTAGGATTGGTTAAAGAAAACTGTCTTCATTCCAGGTGTAATTCTTCACAGTGCATGCTGGGACGCACTGCCTACTGTACACACCCACACATTAAATTACTGACAAAATGACTCTACATTAGCACAGTTTACATTTTTGTCAATGAACTGACTGGTATTGATACATGCTGATGATTTTAACTTTCATAATAATAAATGCACACAGTGGGATTGATTAGCAGTCTAGCTTTAAGGTAGATGACAAAACACTCACTATAATGTTTCTCTTTCTCACACTGGCTTAAAGGAAAAGTTTGGGAGACACGCTCCTTTTGTATGTCTGCTGGAACCAGCAGCCGGTTAGCTCAGTTTAGCATGAAGACTGGAAACAGGAGGGAACAGCTAGCCTGGCTCTGTCTAAAGATAACAAAATCCACCTACCAGCACCTCTAAAGCTCACCAACATGTTTTATCTTGTTTCTCTGATCTGTACAAAAACCAAAATCTTGTGGGAGCTTAATTTGCATAGACTTTAGGAAGTTGCTGGTCCAGGTCTTATGCTAAGCTACATATTTGTGGGTTCAATACTGAACTTACTTTGGGCATACAAGGAATAAGCATCTCCTAAATGTCAAACTCATAATTTAAAAGTTGAAAAAAGAACTTTTATCTCAAGTGTAAAGCTGTTTTCATGTTGTAGTGCAACCCAATCACAAGACAAAATGCTGGCATTGTACATTTCTGCAAACCACGGATAGGACTATATTACATTTTTTACGTTATTATGTAGCAGATATGTTGAAATTTTATGTTTCTCTGTGTTTCAACATCACTGTGACTACCATGTGGTTAGGTTTTGGCACAAAAAAGGATCATATTTAGGCTTAAAAAATGGTTTTGGTGGCACAATACCAGCTGGCGAATATGTAAATGCCTTACTAAAAAAAAAGCAACCGTTTTATGTGCCACTATTTCTGCAGAAAACACAGCATTGTCTCATTACAAAACAACAACTTTTCATGGCACTATCCTGGCAGGAAACGTAATGATG